GAAGGAACTTTTCACGGGCCTGTACGTAGGTACCACGCTTACCCGCGGGCAAGGTTTGAACTCGTTGATACCCACTTAGACAGGGAACACCACCCTATGATTTCAGCTCTCTATCTTCTCAGAACCCCGAGTTATGAATTTACGCGGGAAAAATCTTGGGAGCCGGTACGCGGGTACCACGCTTACCTGGGGGCTGGTTTTGAGCTCATTAATACCTACTTGGACGGGGAACATTCCCATAAAATTTCGGCTCTCTAGCTTTTCTGGTTCGCGAGTTATCAGCTTACCCGTAAAATACTTTGGCGGGGTCTTACGTGGGTAACACGCGGGAAAGACCGCCCATTTTGGGGATAGGGACCCGTATGTGCATGTAGATTAAAACCCCAAAGTTTCAGCCCCGTAGCTTTTGCCGGTCTTGAGATGAAGAATCGGTACAGAGGCCCAGCGCACACACAGACATACACACACACACACAGACAACCTCTCGTCAATATGCGTTTTTCGCGTTGCATTGCTGCAAAAAACGCATAAAAACGCAGAATGCGACTACCCTGTCCGCGTGTGTATGTGTGTGTGTGTGTGTGTGTGTGTGTGTGTGTGTGTGTTTTCTCCTGTCCAGGTATTTCACCTCGGCAACCAAGCAAGCTCTGGCGCCAAGACTTTGCTAGTTGGTTCCCTGGCCAGGTGTCACCCCAGGATGCGGTACCAACTCTCACACACATCTGAGTCCCGCGTGCGAGCGCGTGAAAACTTTGGCAGAAAAATTGCTAACTCGAGAATGAGAAAAGCTAGAGGCTGAAATTTGGAGTTTATGTCCCCAGCCCACGTAGAACTCAAAGATTTCAAATTCAATCCCCTGGCGTCCGTTGTTCCCGCTTATGGCCTCGTAAGGATTCCTGGCACGAAAATCACTAACTTAGAAACCAGGAAAGCCAGGAGACTGAAATTTTAAAGAAATGTGCCTAGTTCGTGTACAACTTAAAGTTATCAAATTCACTCCCCGGGCATACGTAGTTCTCACGTAGCTCAATGAAATTTTTTGGCGGGAAGAATTGCTAACTCGGGAATCAGGAAAGCTGGGAGGCTGAAATTTTAGGAGAATATTCTCCGTCGAAACACAGTTTAAAGACTTCAAATCCAGCCTCCACCTACGTGTGGTTCACGTGCACGGGCACTCAAATTTTTGGCGGGAAAATTGCTCATTGAACAGCTGGGTCATTTTCAAAAAAAAAAAAAAACCGGATAAACGGATGCAAAATCCTTTTCCTTTTATGCAAAATTTACGATGATTTACGGTATTGAGTGCACAAGGTAGGTGTGAAGAAACAACCGTTCATGCAGTTAACCTAATTACTTCAAGTCTGGTACAAAAACATGTGATCGCACCGGCTCGCCTGGTGCGTTCCAGCCAGGGTTACATTTGCATATAAGTAAAAACGCATAAAAAGTCCGTTTCCCAAAAAAAGCACTATGAAAGTACATAGTGGTGCTGGCGAGGAAGTGTCGCTCACGCGAAGCACCACATATAAGTGGTACGTTTGATGTAACTGGGAACATTATTATTACTGACATTGTTCTGAGGTGGCCAAACGCAGTGAGACCGGCTTAAAATACTTTTTACTGTCGCGCAGCGCTCGGGAAATGAGCTTTTTTGCTGCAGTGGCTCTCTTTAGAATCAGCAGTCCTCTATACTGGGCCAAGGTCGACACAATCTTAGCCGGGCTTTTTCTGAGGAAACACTTCTCGAAACTTTGTTGGAGAGGTTCTGCAAGTCCTATGAAAAGCTTGTTGTCAAGTACCAGTCAGGCTGTTAATTAGAATTTTTGTAAAATTAATGAACATAAGAAATATAAGAAAAAACAACAGAGCATTTGTATTACCACTGATTCAGGAATAAAACAAAAATTTAACAAGCATTTATTGGAGTACCTACATTGGCAGCTCGCGCGCTTTTCAGTGATTCTGGTCGGCGCAGCATAGCTTCTCGGTGATTCAAAAACGGAGAAAGTAGGTTTCTTTGCGACGGAAAAAGTAGCACTGCTTAATTTAAGATGCTCCAAATTTCATAAAATCTGAATAAAAAACAGACCATTTGTGCTTCTAAAGAGATCACTTTCAGTGCGATTGAAAAGAATATCAGCTTCCTCTTTGGCTTCTCGTACTGCGTTAATGACATCCCGAGGATTTATTTCCTTGTTAATGTCCATGAAAGTTCCGACTGCTTCCGAAAGTATTCGCTGCGCCAGTGCTTCTTCATCATCTGCAGAAATACCACAAATAATGTTTTGCAGTCATTCTGCTTAGAAAAAAATTACCAAATGCAGAAAACAGCTAATAGCATCAGAGCAACCAAGAAACTGGGAAAAATTCGGTTTGAACGCTAACAAAAACAGCCAGACATTATCTGCTTATACTTATCCATCGACCAATACTATGGATTTTGCAAGCCAATTAATTTGTTATGGTCGCATAATCAGTTGGTAATCCAATAAGGAAGTGTAAAGCTTTCAGCAAACCCCACCTTGAAATTATGAAATTTTTGACTACGTCGATGAACCTACTCCTCAGTTCTACAGTCATCGTAGTATCGACAAAACTGCATTAGCTCACTCTATGTATCAGAGACTGAGACATACTGATGGTATTTGTTGCTAGGCCGAATGCGAGCGGAGCCCTGGAACACGGTGTAAAACTTGTGCCGCACGGTATGTTGCTACGGCGCTGACGTGCGTGGAAGTCTTGTGATTCAACGATAATTCCACCATGTAATAGCAGCAAGGAAAGGGATAACATTTCCAACAATTTCATTGCTTTCCTGAATTGCCCCTGGAATGGAAAAATGTGTGAAAAATGAGGGCACGTTCGATGAAATCGAAGCTCACGAACATGCGGTCCCTTTCTGATGACCAATTGTAGCACCATTACAAACATTCTACAGGATTATGCTTTCTTTCATATGTGCAAATGCAATTCAGACTGGAACTCACCAGGCTTGCCGATGCGATCATATGTTTTTGCATCAGACTTGAAGTAATCAAGCCCTTAACTGCGTGAATGGTTCAGTTTCTTGATCAGTTTCAACGTTCCAGCTTTTCTGGTTTCTGAGCTAGTAGTTTTGAATAATGACTTTTACATACCCGTACGTGGCTGCCACGCGTACCTGGGAGCTGAATTTAAAATGGGGGACATCCTC